GGGGGGGGGTACCGATGGAGTGGCAACAAGCGTTGGCCGTCCTTGGTACTGCTGACGTGCAGCCGTATGGGGCGACTCGAGAAGCTTTGATTCCAAGGTTTGAAAACCGTATGCCACCGCCGTGTATTACATTCGTACGGTGTTGCGTACCCACAAGAGCCTGCCCGTCGTAGCCGCTAGAGAGGAAAGTTGAGACTGTTGGTGGCCCGTCGTTGAGCAACAGCAAGTAGTGGTTAGTTCAGCGCATATGTCTGCAGATGAGGCGTGAATGTACACATTAGTCTACGTCTTTTATGTATCCGAAGAGTAGGGGTAGAAACACGAGGAGCGTCTATCTCCCACTTTACTTTAGTACCTTGCATGTGTGGGATTGTTTCTTCTTCAGTAGGCGGGCTAACGGCGGTTGTTTGATCTGTTATTTCTTTTTCAAGTTCGGGGTATCGAGAAGAGACCAAGTTGTGGGTTGTTTCTCTGTGCTATTCACGGCAGTGTCAAGATAAGCGAGTTCGGTCTCCTGTTTGTCGCTGAGTGATTCGGTTAGAAAATTTACTGAAAGCACTTGATGACCCAAAGCCAGGTGGGTCTACTGCTTTGGTATCTCTGTACACCCATTGTTCGACTTTTTTAAGTGCAGAAAAATGCTGCTTGCCGTTACTTTTTTTTTCCTGCTGCGGCGGATAGTGAGTATGCAGACAAGAAGCTTATCACGAGGCATTTGTTGTGGTATTGAGAGGTAGCCGTGTGAATGGTATGTCACCATCCATCGGTGATGCTTTGATGGAGAATGGGGAGGCTGCTGTAGTACCGTAGTTGTGCACATCCGATTTAGCGTGTGATTCAGCCGATGGTGAGTCTATCTGTCTGTGCTGTGTGGAGTCCATGGAAGGCTTCAAGAATGAGAGCAAAAGGAGGTACATGCAGCAAAATTGTTGTGGCTGGATTAACATAGTCTCCATCAGGCGTGGAAAAGAGGTATTGGTAGTCTCAGTAGACTACATGAGGAAATAATATCGGTAATCATGTAGTCTATATGGATGTTCGTTGCTGTCGTTCTTTGAGCCCCCCTGATAAGGGAGCTAGCTGCTAGTTTTTGTTGTTTTCTCGTTCGTTTTTACGCATACCGTGATCGATTCATACATACATGCGTACGTCTGACTGTCTGGTAGTGCATGTATGTTTAGATAGTTTCATGGTGTCTACAATGTCGTCGTTTTGCCTTCAAAATTGGGGTCGGAAAACAAAAACATGTGTATGTAGTGTAGATGGGAACGTTTGTATGTTTGTTTGAGCCGAGAAGAGGCTGACTGAGTACCAGTTGGCAAGCGAACGTTTTCCAGAACAAATTTCATCATGCATCATGATCACTCACTGCCGTTGCTTCATGATGATGCATTAATTACGCCGACGCCAATAATGAGTTCATTAACTAATTCCTGGATCCTCTTCGCTGTGTGTGGTGATCAACGACGCGGTGGGGGAAGACGCGGCAAAATACTTGTTGTACGAAGGAACGCGGAGGGATTACACTCCTTCTGTGATGATATGCACTTTTAAGGGATTCGTTTGGTTGATTGATCACTCAACGGGAGGAGGGCAAAATACCTACTGCACGAACATCCCGTTTGAATGTGGGAAAAGCTCGAACGGGTAGTCTTTCTGTGTGTGTATTTATTTTTCGTGAAATATTCATTATTCTTTTCTGGGAACAAAAGTTTTGAAATATAACGTTCCCGAATGTTTTTTCATCGTCGGTTGCATTCTATAACAGACTTAAATAGACTCGAAATAAGTCCAGTACCCAGCCGGTTTTTCTTCACTCACTCAATAGACTCCACCATATCCCGTTCGAATGTGGTATATCTCAATCGGGTAGACTTTCTGTGTGTATTTATTTTTCCTAATGCTGTGCACTATCTATTATACACTCCATTCATATGTTATTATATCATAGTAGATAGAGGAGTATAGCACAATGGAGATTCCCGGCAATTCCACCATGGGAGTCATAGGCTTTCTTTCTCGTCGTTCGTCCGTTCTCTCTTTCGCGGTGAACCAACCTGCGACAAACTAAAAGTTCATGGCAGCAGGAAAATAATAATATCGTATCCGTGTGCGTGTTTTTTTATTTTGAGCATCGACCGCGATAACCGGCTGACCAATTAAAAGACGTCAGTGCCAGCTGGTAAATAAAAATCAAGGTCCCTGGAAAGGGGCCAAATTCGAAAAATGCCCAATGCGCTAGTAGATGCAAATAAATGCCAATAAATACGACTCTCTACGCATATATTATTTCACGCAGTAGGCACCCATCTTAGCTACCCAAATAACTGCCATCGCTCGAATCTAGGAAGCCACTGATGATGATGCAGCGAGCGGAGGACAGCAAAAGCGTTAATTCAAGCCCAGCCGAAGCCAGGATATCATCGTGGTATTATGCTGCATCTCCCAATTTGATAATCGTGCACTCCCAAGATCCAACAGTCATCGTGTCAGCAGCGACTCAAGCAAACAGACGTGTGTGTGTCTCGAAGAAAGCTGCTCGGCTGCTGCTGCGGTCGTGGTGGTCTCTCGCATCTGACGTACAGCAGCAGTATACCCTCGACGACATACATACATACGTACAGAAGAAGTGAACTGGAGGAGTGAGCACATTCATTAATATATTATTCAAAAATATCATTGTCGTATGTTTGTGTCCATCCGTGCGCATGTGATTGTATGTGACGGACTCTCGCCATGCGATCAGCTTTTTGCCGGGTCGAAAATTTAAATTTAATCAATCGATCTAGAGTCTAGTCTAGTCTATCTAGATCGATCCGGTATTTCAAGTTACAGCAGTAGTTGCGAACGAACAAGAATCTCGCACCCACAACAAACAATGCTATGATTTACGGACGCGCAACTCCCAAAGTGCTTTACCCAAAATATGAAGTGACCAAACAAACCAACACTACTGCTGTACTGCGAGACATCTACCTGTGATCGCGTTTGATATTTACTTGCACACGGGCGCGGCAACGCGGCAACCGGCAACGCCCATTTATTTTGCGATTCGCGGCACCCCCGGGAACAATCCGCGATGCCCCCCCCACACTTGCGTGCCACGTGCCACCCGCGCATAACATCATCCATCCACGTCGGAGCCAGAGTAACTGTGAGGAAAACCCTCGTTGTGTGTGCGAGAGACCACAGAGAGAGCGAGAGAGAGAAGGAGAGAGAGAGAGAAAAAAGGAGAGAAGAAAAGATGGCGCGTGGAAACCAGCGAGACCGCGATCGCCTGAAGGCCCAAGCGAAAGAGGCCAAGAAGGGCGGCAAGAGTAAGGAGGGCTGCCCCCGGGCTAGACAAGAGCGGTGAGTGAGGCACATACCTTGGAGAACATTATTACATTACTGCTGTCACGTCACGCGTGTTGGAAACGGGAGGGCGAACACACCACGGTGTGATCAGATGGTGGGTGAAAAGAAATTGGGATTTGCTGAGGATGGCCAAGTGTACGTACCGCACAGCAGTCGTATGTTGCCAAAGGTCCGTGCAGGCGGGCGGGGAAACGGCGTGTTGTTTTGGGTGACACAGAAATTGTGAGAGGAGGAACGACACGTCTCGAGGAGGGTGTAAAAACGTTCAAAGTCGCGGTGACAACATGCCACAACCGCACACAATGGCGGCGGCATGTTGCGAAAAATGGTGCCGCGCAATGATAGTTACCAACACACAGCAGCATCAAGCTGGAAAAATTCAGGGCACCTCCGTCCCTTGTCTCAATTTTTACAACAAGCACAATGTAGTTGGGAGACGAATGTGTCACTGCCAGAGAGCGAGGATAGCAGCGATCGGCGTAATACGAGTCTATATGCCGATGCTGACGTTTGCTGCTGGTGTGTTCGTTGTGTGGCAAATCGATTTCGACAGGCATGTTGATGCTGTCCCTACAGGTAGATGGCATTCTACCGCGGTCGGTGTGAGAAATCCCTTTCAGGAGGATTCAAGAGAGTGCATGCACTGCTGTTGTAGCCCAGCATGCGTTTACGGGTTGCATGGTTGCATGGTTGCATGCCCATACACACCACCAAGCGGAAGCGCGTCGCGGGGTGGATCCTTGTGGGACCTCTCGGGGCGATTTTGTAGCGGTGGCACCTTTGAAAAGACGATCGAAAAAAGCTCATCAACCCATCCTCTCGTATAGCAACAGCAGCAGCAGTGTCTCGACGGCCATGAACGCAAACAAGCAAGTCCTGCTGTGGATACAAATAGTGGCCCCCCGCCCCCCAGCCATTATGCATGGGATGGGTGCGGCGGTTTGATAGGCAGAGCTAATCTAGGCAATGACGACATCCGTACGAAAGAAGGGTAAGTTCTGGAACCGATGTGGGTCCACACAATCATCACTGGACGTCTATTGCGTAGATAATCGTATGATCTTTTAATAGTGGTGTTGTTTCGGATATACATTCGGCCGATGTACGCACTCCTGAAACCGAGACAGACAACGATGCGCACACATTGCTGCAGGCCGAAAGCGATCAATCTCATCGTACGTACGAAGCGCCGAGAGCGATTCTTGAAACAATTGTCTTGTCTTTTGCTAGCAGAATACAAGCGAGGGAAGCAAGACGTGCACGTCCACCCGGCAGCACCAGCAGCAGCATATATGGCAGTACAGTTGACCCCGCTTTAAGGACGCACATGGTTTTTCCCGAAAAGCTCTTTGAAGCGGGGTTGCGTCCTTATAAATCAGGGGACGATAGCTCACCATCCCCGGGGTCAATGAAGGCATGCTATACCTTAAACTACGCGTCTGTCGCTAAGGAAGTGGGTGGTACGAAAAGTCAGCATCGCCGAGACGACTGGCAACCGTTTGTTGAGGTCGAACATATGTACAAAACTTAATTGAATGNAGGGGACGATAGCTCACCATCCCCGGGGTCAATGAAGGCATGCTATACCTTAAACTACGCGTCTGTCGCTAAGGAAGTGGGTGGTACGAAAAGTCAGCATCGCCGAGACGACTGGCAACCGTTTGTTGAGGTCGAACATATGTACAAAACTTAATTGAATGTACAGCAGTCGGGGGCGTGTTGAAAACAACTACAGCACACCAGTTTGTACTTGGGCAACAAATCTACTGCATAGCCGGCAGCGGAAGGAGGAGGAAAGTCCAAGTAGCCATATATTTATCTCATTCTCGTGAAACTTAAAAAGAAAGAGCGTATTTCAGCGTCGCACCGAGGAACACCAGTACATATCACTGTGGTCCCGGCGGAGACCAAAAGCTACCTGGATGGCTTTTCCTTCCACATATCGCGAAGAGTTCCATGAACCTCCCCCCGCGGCTTGGCTCTACGGCTCTGTTGAGTTTAATGAGTAAACGAATGAGCGTTCTTCGAAAGAACGGACTACTGCTGTGTCTCACGGTACCCGCCATCCCTTCCCTTCGCGTACAAATACAGATGGCGCCCGCAGCGCAGTTAAGAAAAATAATGTTGAGAAAAAAGGCTCAAGTTTATACGAAAAATAAGAAAAAAGGGCTAAGAAACATTGCTCAATCTCGGCCACAACGGAAGAAACGCCCCATCAAGAAACATGATGGTGCGATACCCCGATGACATCAGAAATCTGCGGTGCTCCCAACCCCCTGCCAAGCTTAATAGACGTGCATTTCTGCGAGAGGCAGAGTCCCCCCCCCC